GGGGGCACCGTCAGGGCACTATAGTGCCAGGAAAACAAGTATGTTTTCCTGGCACTATAGTGGTCCTTTAATACGTGATTAAACAGTAATGATCAGCATTTTCATGGCTTTGGATATCTTTTTATATCCTTTTCCATATTTACAAAGTTCCATTACCTTGTTACGCAGGTCTTGACAGTTCTTTTCTGCACCCCATGGCTCAGTATCTAGCCTGCTCAGTGCATTCAGGTGAGAGCTAACAAACTCATTGACAATTTGTGCACAGACACTAATTGCAATTGAAAAAAAGCCACAGGTGTGGGAAATTAACCTTTAATTGCGATTTTAACCTGTGTGTGTTGTAACAAGGCCAAACATTCAAGGGTATGTAACATTTTGATCAGGGCCATTTGGGTGATTTCTGTTATCATTATGATTAAAAAGGAGCCAAACAACTATGTGATAATAAATTGATTCATATGATCCCTATCCTTCAATAAAAGACATTTAGTTTTTGCATGATCAGTCATATTTTCAAAATCAATGCCAATATTTCACAATTTCTGCCAGGGTATGCAAACTTTTGAGCACAACTGTATATTGCGTAATGTTCCTCTGTCCATCTCCAATTTAAAAAAAAAAAATTCCTTATGAGACATTTTCTTAATGTAGTAGTGATCCTTACTCTCAGGAGGCACTAGATCCAGCCGTCATTATTACGATATTGCTCTGTTGTCTTGACTTTTATTCACATACTGCTGCACCTTCAGTTAGTATCTTCCCCATGCTTTATTTTTGGATAATTTTATCTATGGGGACAAAAGACTTCTCTAATGCAGGTTTAAGGGAAATGAATGAGGTAAATACTAAGGAACATGGAGAGATAGGTGTCCTATGTGCTACCTTCTTCTGACTGAGGATATTTACCTTCTTGAGCAATGAAAGCTACTAGGGATCATGATAGGTCCAGAGAATAGAGAAAACATTTTTATTGCACATGGGGTGACTTACTTTAAGCAAGGGTTTCTATATGGTCAAGCAACTGTCAATATTTTGCAAGTCAGATAGAAAAGATAAATGTAACTCTGTAGATGAGGCTAACCATAACTGATCAAAAAATGCTCGAATACGCTTTGGTTTATTATAAATGTATAGGACTATATCATGTTTGATCTTAATTGCCATTTCATGGCATGTGTTATTCTTTTTGTTGTCTAGCTTTATAAGACTGTAAAATTATACATAAATAAAGATTATCAAAAAAAAATGTCTAAGTCTATTTTTGATTAGTAAAATACATCTTCAGCTACTCACCAGGCAAACAAATGAGACACTGTTTTGAAACATTTTTCACTATTTACGTACAGCCTAATTCAATTACAGAGACCTGTTTGTGTATTTAAATATACAAGATGCACAATAATTATACATCTAATGATTATAATTCATTCACTCAAGACTTAAAATAGAGATGACTAGTCTCTAGTTTTTGTGCAGAGTCAGCACATATGCAGAATATTTGGCCAAATAAGTGTGTTACATGATGAGAATGGCATTTTTTGTTCACTTCGAACTTTGTTAACAGGAGATAATGTCTACTTTAATGTATAGTTTTACTTGATTACAGCATACAACAGCTGAACTAAAGTGCTCTTATTGCCTTGCACAGATTCCTCCTTGCTGACATGCCTGAAGGTTTGCTCAGAGTTTTTCCTTAATCAGTAGTATCGTATGTACGTTCTCCATCACCGAAGCCTCTGTAGATGTGGAAACTTGTTTGATGTCTTCAAATAAGGAATGATGAAAGATGATAATCATCTTGTGAGCTGTGCCTCCAAGCCTTTTTGATTAAAGAAAAATATAATATTAAAATATATTATTTGCAACCTTGCCATATGAAAATACTGATGACTAATAAGTAGAAGGTACATTGAGTTTTTGTTAATACACATATCTTATGTGGTTTAGTTTTCTCAGTGTATAGATTTGTTATTTAAGGTGGTAGTCCCTATAGAGCTGTAAGTATTTTACCGTTCAAATATAGTGCAGAAATATGATTTAGGGTAATTGAAGTTTTCTTTTTCTTTTTACATTTGTAAAGATAGACATAGAGTAATAAAACACTGATTCAAGCCAGTCTGGGATAGGCAAGTCCGAGACAACACAAACTCAGTGTTACAATCATTAAAGACCAAATCATTCGAACGGAAACAATATTACAAAAATAATGGTCACGGACTATGATGTTATTGTACCTCACATACAACTTAAAGGTAAGGAGCTCATCAACTTGTAGGATCATCTCAACCCAGTTATCCAATATAATGATGCCTATATGACAAAATAGTACCTCATGAGATCATACATATAAACAGTCCGTAAGTTCAAGTAAACTAATGACTTGTATAACCAAGAACAGTATTGGTGTGATGTAATCAGTGCCAAAATATTACATATATATATATATATATATATATATATATATATACACACACACACATCCATACATACATACACATACATGAGGCTGTATGATCAAATCGGATTGTTCAGCGCTGTTAAATATGTTGGCACTTTATAAATACCAGTAATAAATAAATAATAAATAAACAAATCTGTGATTTTTGCCTCGACAGATCAGAGTCAAAGGCTCTTTGACATTTTTACAAACACAGATTTGCATGATTTGTTTGCAATCTTCATGCTGCTTCAATGAGTATACTGGAGTAGAACAATATTCAATTAAGATATATCTTATAGAAGAATTAAAAAATAAGTAATGAAAATTTCTGGAAATGTTTAAAACTAACTAACAACTAAATATGTGCAATTTGTTTTGTTCCAAATCAAAGTTCGTCTGAATCTGGCAATTCAGAATCGTCCAAATTGACGAATACTGAAACAAAACAAAAATAAACAAATTCAGAATTAATTGAAATTAATTATTTCAAACCCATTCATTTTCATAAGGATAGTAAATTAGGCACTTTTAAAAAAAAATTTATTTAAAAAAAAAATTTAATTTAGGAGTGCAGTGATAAGTAGTGATATCCAGAACTGTTCGCCAAACGGTTCGCGAACGGTTCGCCACGAACGGTTCGCGAACGGTTCGCCACGAATGGTTCGCCACGGACTCATCATTGAGTAAACTTTGACCCTGTACCTCACAGTCAACAGACACATTCCAGCCAATCAGCAGCAGACCCTCCCTCCCAGACCCTCCTGGACAGCATCCATTGTGAAGCTGTATTCTTAGTGAGCTGTCCAGGAGGTGGGAGGGTCTGGCAGGGAGGGTCTGCTGCTGATTGGCTGGAATGTGTCTGCTGACTGTGAGGTACAGGGTCAAAGTTTACTCAATGATGAGTCCGTGGCGAACCGCTCGTGGCGAACCGTTTGGCGAACAGTTCGGGACATCACTAGTGATAAGTACATACTTGTTTAATGACATATGTCAAAAAGGTATAATAATATTTAAATATATTACGTCGATGTGCTGCACTTTTTTTTAATGAAAACATGCTTATTTACAGTGTGTCAATATAAGAGGAGTGAAGAAAAGGGTCTTGTAGATTGACAAATGACAGCTAATTTAAACTGGAGGTACACAGTATACATTAGGTAAAGATCAATAGATTAACTTTTCATGGTGGAATATGTATATAGATAATTCCGCTCATTTTAAAGTAATAACGATTAGAGAGACCTACTGTGTATATATGGTTAAGCCTGTTAGGGTAGAAAGGATTAAGTAGAAATATATATGAGTGCTTAACTCGATAGTTTTAGTCCCCTAGGAGACCCCATGTGTGTGGGGTAGTAAGAGAGGTTAGCGTTTACAGAGTCAGTGTAAAAGAGAATTATAAGTTGGTACAGAACTGGGTCAGTAGATTCCGCGGGGAGAAGAAAGGTAAGTGGTCGTGTGCCTATAAGTGCCCTGTCCTTAGTCTCAGTTCATCCGATGACCACTGAGGGGAGAGCACTGCTCCGGAGCAGCGGTGAACACTGCGGTGTTTCAGGACCTAGCGAGGACGGGCTGGTCTTCGTGATATGCAGGTTTGGTGCTTTCCTCATCAAAATCACAGCATACAGTTCAGATGTAAGCCGCATACAGTTCACAGGCACTTTTGGAGCCCCAACCTTGATTCAGGATGTTTTCCGTTTGTGATTTGGGGATGAGGGCTTGCTGCTTCGCCACCATTTTGGGGCCTTTGCCTTTGGCTGTTCTGGGGTGGTGTGATGCCTCCCATTTTCCAGTGACTGCCGGAATTTATCAAAGATTCTGTTGAGTCTGGTCATTAGGTCGGGTTGATCTTCAGCAGAGTCGGGGTGCCACGTGGCTTCCACCATGCTTGGTGGCTTCACCCTCTGTGCCCAATAGATCAGGTGGGACTCCCAGGGGTGCACCGAGATCACCCCCTCCGGACTGAGGGGGGAAAGTTTGCAGCTCTGGTATAGTGATTAGGGCTGTCTCTTGCTCTCTCCTAAAGGGCAGCACTCTACTCGCTCCTCCAGCTCTGCTTCACTCCCACCTAATTTGACTGCAATTTCCTGTCCTATTGTGTTTTATACCCCACGTCCTATAGACTGTAAGCTCGTTTCTGTAAGATTTCTTGTAATTGTCCTATTTATAGTTAAATCCCCCCTCTAATAATATTGTAAAGCGATACGGAATCTGTTGGTGCTATAAAAATGGCAATAATAATAAATAATATTAAACGGCTTATGGTGCTCGTATAGGAGAGGAGCTCAAGCAATATGTGACTCTCCGCCATGGCAGTCAGGCCCCGCCCCCAGGCACTTATCTTTTAAGCAACTGACAGAGCAAAAATAAGAAAGAGACTATTCTTAATTTTGATCTTCCAGCTGTTTAGTAAATAGTTCCTGTGTATATCCCATATATTCTATAAGCATACTATATACATGCATCCAGGCCTGGCATGTCCATTGGTACTGGGGCGACCATGGCTCCAGGTGGCACTTTGACAGAGGCAGTATTTTGCTGGCTCTGTACCTTTAAGAAATCAGATGTAAGGGGCCTGGCAGGCTATTTACATATATATATATATATGGTTTTGTCAGAGTCCATACAGATGTTTAAACTGAAATTGGATAAATACTTACAAAAACATAACATACAGGGATATAATTTCTAATTAGTGGGGTAATTGCTGCTTGATCCAAGGAGACATCTGACTGCTATTTTGGGGTCAAGAAGGAATTTTTTCCTAGTTTGTGGCAAAATTGGAAGCGCTTCAGACCAGGTTTTTTGCCTTCTTTTGGATCAACAGCAACAACATTTGTGAGGAAGGCTGAACTTGATGGACGCAAGTCTCTTTTCAGCTATGTAACTATGTAATAGTGAGTAACACTATATATAAAAAAAAAACAACCGTTAATTTTCTCACCCATCCTGGGTGGTATGTTATTCCTCATTCTCTGGTCCTCTACCAGAAGCCTGGGAGTTTGAGGGTTCTGAACAGTATCTTAGCTGTTCCTAGAACTGCACTCTTCTGGACAGCGATCTCAGATCTCCCACCTGGAATCTGTTGAAGCCACTTCTCCAACCTGGGAATCACAGCCCTGAGTGCTCATATCACAGCTGGCACTACTACTTCCTTCACTTCCCACATCTTTTCAGGCTCTTCTTTCAGTCCTTGTTATTTTTCAATCTTCTCATGTTCTTACTTCCTGATGTTATAGTCACAGGGTATTCCCATATCCACCACTACTGCAGTCTTCCGTTCCTTGTCTCCCACCACAATGTCAGGTTGGTTGGCCAGTGCTTGCTTGTCTGTCTGGATTTGAAATTCTCACAGGACTTTGGCCCTGTAATTTTTAACTACCCGTTGTAGTATCTCCCATCTGGACTTAGGCAGATCCAGCTGATATTCTGTGCATATGTCTTGGTACACAATGCCAGAAACTAAAGTCTCCACTTGATAAAGCCTTGTTGGTGAAACGCGTTAAGGGTTATTTTATACTGCTGTGGATATTTTACATTGTTTTAATAAAGCAATTTTGGCTACTTCCATTTGTGAGTGTGAAATTTTACTTTTTTATCTGTTCTTTTATTTTCTACCTGGCATTCAATTTTTTTTGGACTACTCCAAAAGAATCTAAGGTGGGTATTATACCACTTACACCCTATATAGTGAGCAGTTTGTCTGCTCTACTAAATGTGAGTAACCATGTATTATTTCATACTCCTGGCATTCTTTTACACAGTGAGCACTATTGTTGTCTCTTTTAAATTTCTTTTATGGTCTTTATATTGATAAAACATCTACCTTACAACATATCATAACGTATCCCATAAGTGGGGATTGTACCACTGTATGCTATTCATACTGGAGCTGGTTAAAAGCTCTAAAAACACGAGTAGGACTATATTAGTTTTTTTTAATACTTTTTTTTATCTATCTTTGGGACATATTGCACTATTAGTCTTTCCTTTTTGTTTATATGTACGGATTTGAGGAATACCCTGATCTGCCACTGTTGTAGAAGAATTATTCTGGACAAATTTGAGGCTATATCTTCTGGCAAGTTTTATTGGGACTTTTAATTCCTTTTTTTGTATTATTCATATATTGGTCTTTATTTTTATTTTTTTACTTCTTATTGTACCTATACATTGTTTATACTGTT